AAATGTCATTATAGAATAAAGTAAACTTCAGCAGGTGAATCACCACTAGCAGGGTTAGCCATTGGTAGTGCACGGTACTGAGAAGTAACAGGCCGCCATATTGGTACTCCCTAGTTAGACCGGTCCCAATGTAAACAACCAGTGCGCTAAAGCATCGAACAAGTCAATGAAGTCTATAAATCATGTAATATAACATATTATACAAATCCATTACAATACAATTAATGTGTTAATGGAGCAGATAAAACAGGAATGGATTCACACTGAAGGCGCCTAAATACAACATTTTGGTCATTTCTCTTCAATAAAACATTTTTTTACTCATAAACAATGAAATAAATTGAAGAATGAAGAAATGGCAAAAACTGGGTGTGACTCATTTCCAGGGATCTGCAGGAAACCTTCAGCTCTGCATGTTGTTTATCAGTCCTGCCTTTCTCCAACAATGCTTCAGAAATCCACTTAATTGGATGTTTGATGCTTTGGGTTGATTTCCTGCGTTTTTTCGCCTGAGTGAAGGTTATAAATTCCTCCTCCCCTAAATTGGTAATACGTCACTCTGTCAAAGAAAGCTTTTCATGGCAGGCAGCTTGTGGGATGGTAAACTGCTCAGCACAGCACAAAGGGTAAGAACAGGCAGTCATAGAAAATAAAGATCCATCAAAGGCTCACTCAGACGCAGACTTCACGGCACGCGTGACAAGGATGGAGCGTGGACTGTGTAGGATTTAATGGCTGCACAGTGAGGAGGCATGCTGCTGACGCTGAGTCAATAAAAGCATCTAGTCGCAGGAATAAAACGAGTCTGAGGCTCATTTCTCTCCTCCTGTCAAAGAAAACAATGATGAAGTGAAAACAAAAGACGAGAGAGAAATGAAGCAAACAAGAAAGAAAATGGAAAACAGGAGAAACGAACCAGCATTTTGGAACAAGGTTCACTTCTCTGAATCAGTGAAGATTCTCAGTCATCCAGGTCCTGGTCAGGTTTAGGCAACTGGACGTGAAGAAAGAATGAGAGGGAACTAAAGGAGCCTCCTAATGGATTGGCGATGGAGGTCACCTGGAGAGTTAATGGTGGGTAGGGGGTCTGATGGCTGATGACTCATTAACTCCTTGTCAGAGTGGTTTCAGTCACATGTCTGATTGAAGTGTGATTCAGGTGAGAGGTGAATCTTCTGGGTATTGTTCCTAAAAGTGCTTTGGATGAAGGTGAAAGGTTCTGTCTAAGACCACCTCATCTGTTGAGAGATGTTTTTTCCAGGTTAACAAAGATGGCTTCCTTAACCTTGCTCTCGAACCATCTATCTTCCCTGGCCACAATCAGGATGTTTTTCTCCTTAGAGTGAGCGGCTGCGTCCTGTCCTGAGGAGTTGACCTGTGTTGAGCCATGCTCCTTTTTAGCGGTTGCTTGGTCTTTCCAATCTACAGGTCTGTGCTCTCTTCACTACACTGAATGGCGTAAACCAGGGGTGTCAAACTGGTTCCAGAAAGAGCCATGTGGCTGCAGGTCTTCTTTCCAACCAAACAATAGCAAACCAGACTCCAGTCATCTCATCAAGTCATCATGTTCAGATTGGACTCACTTGATGAGATGACTGGAGTCTTGTGTGCTACTGCTTGGTTGGAAAGAAAACCTGCAGCCACATGGCCCTTTCTGGAACCAGTTTGACACCTGTGGCGTAAACCATGATGTCGGCCTGGTTTCTGGGTGTTTTATCTTTGAGATTAACCAGTTTTTGTCTCCCATGTTTTGTTCCCATGTATGAGTGTAGAGCTCTGCTTTGCACTTCTTCCATGTATAAGTTCACCACTATAGGAGCCACAGGGCAGCCAGTCCATGCTTCTGCCTGTAGATAGCTTGGTTGAATTGGAAGTATGTGGTGGTGAGGCACAAGTCCAAGAGGGATCAGTTGTGGTCAGATTGGTCAGGTTGGTCCTATCTGGCAGAGGGTGGTCTTGAAGTAAACACATACTTATGGTGGAGACGGCTTCTTTAGTGGGGAAGACATCAGACATCATAGGAGACCATGATCTCATCTGTGTCCAGTGCCAGGCTCTTTATCCTGCTGTGGAACTTCTGTGAATTAGCAATGTGATGTGGTGTGTTGCTAACCAAAGGAGCGAGGATGTGAGTGAGATGTTGGGCCTGAGTGGAGCTCCTTCCTGGTGTATTTTTGGGAGGCCATAGATCCAGTAGATAAAGCTAGCTGATGACTTTCTTCTTGTTGCTGCTGGTGTGGTCTTTCTTCAGTGATTTATAGGTGGCCGTGTCACCAAGGAGGGCTTTAACTTCGGCGTGGTAGTCGGCTGTGTAAAGTACGACCATGCATCTTCCTTTCTCCGCTGGTAGTGTGATTATGTCCTTGTCTCTTTGGAGGACTTTCAGAGCTTTCCTTTCTGGAATGGTCAGGTTTGAAGGGGGAGCCTTTGCCCTGGAGAGAGATGCAGTGACCGTCAGCCGAAATTGTTCAGCTTTTATGAAGGTCAGTTTGTTGTTTCTGATGGCTGTCTCCGTGGCTGTGATGAGATCCAATGCGGGGATCTGTTAAGGGGATGCTGCATGGTTCATTTTCAGGCTGGGTAAGGGTCCTGTGGAAAAATTCTTTTTATCTGTGAATACTTCATGATGCGAATGTGAGTTCCTCTGAGGTGGTCGGTCTGGACTGGAGGATGGGGAATCTATGTTTTTGCCTTTGTAGTGCTGGGACATGTTGGCCTTCACTGCAAACTTGAAAGCCTCATCCATGATGTCCCTGGGAAGTGCTGCGTACAGTTGCACACCTGTCTGATCAAGTTTCCCTTTCAGCACGTAGTGAAATGTATCTGTCTGATGTGTTGGTTCATTAGCTGGTGCTGTGCTTTCAGCAGGATGTTCCTAGCTCTGTAACATTTCACTGAGGAGCAAGGATGTAAACTATTGAGGAGGATTTTGTGGTGCCTGCATCTTAAGTTGAAACGCATGTGGTTTCTGTAGTCCAACATGGAGCCCGGCCGGGCACAGCCTGAAGAGGAAACATGGATCCCCCTTCCAACGGGCTCACCACCTGTAGGAGGGGCCAAAGGGGTGGGGTGCATTGTGTGATGTCAACTCTTTGCGGGAGAAGGAGCCTGAGGTAGTGTGTGTGGCTGAGAGGTCCTGGCTACAGATAGTTGGACGTACCTCATGGCTCTGGCTTTGGGACCAGTCTCCTGGAGAGAGGCTGGACATTCTTCCACTCTGCAGCTGCCCCTGGTGAGAGGCGCAGACTTGTTGCCCCTCATCTTGGTGGGTTGGCGTTTACTCTGGTGTGATACTTAGTCATCCCGGTTATAGTCATTCCAAAAAAGTTAAAAACAATCCACTGGACTTTGAAGATGTTTCTCTTCCCATCCAGGAGGCTTTCTAAATTCAAATGTCTGAAATAGTGTTGAGTTCCAGGCTTTATAGAGTGGAACAAAAAAAAAAAAAAAACTTCTTTTGGTTCTTTGTTAGCCTGCAATAACCGATTCCTGTCTATGTCACTGAAAGGGGGGTCGTTAAAGGGAATTGTTGGCCTGGCTTAATAGGCAGTTGGGGCTGTGATGATAGTGGGAAGGAATCAACTCTATCGCTGTATTGTAGGTTTTTGAAAGTTGAAACCGGAGTCCACTCCCCTATGTTCAATATTGGTTTAACATAGATGGCTTCCTTCACACCCCTTTCAAACCACCTGTCTTCTTGACGTGAACATTCTGGTCCTTTTGACATTCTTTTGAGGACCAGAGCTCCCTCTTTGAGAGCTTTGGACAAGTTCCGAGGGAGGTGGGGGACATTGAGTCTGAGTGGACCATTATCCGTGCCTCTATTTTTGACGTGGCTAGTCAAAGCTGTGGCCGCAATGTGACGCGCTGGCAACCCTCGAACACGCTGGCGGACACCAGTGGTGAGGGAAGCTGTCAAGCTGAAGAAGGAGTCCTATCGGGCTTTATTGACCTGTGGGACTCCAGAAGCAACTGATATGTACCGGCAGTCAAAGCGGCAGGTGGCTCGGCTGGTCACTGAGGCAAAAACTTCAGTGTGGGAAGAGTTTGGAGGAACCATGGAGAAAGTCCACAATCCGGCCTCTCAGGAGGGGGAAGCATTGCAGTACCAACACTATTTATAGTGGGGGTGGTGTGCTGCTGACCTTGGTGGGCAGAGTACTTCAAAGACCTCCTTAATCCCACCAACATATCTTCCATTGAGGAAGCAGAGCCTGGGGGTTCCGATTCGGGTTCTCCCATCTCTGGTGCTGAGGTCACTGAGGTGGTTAAAAAGCTCAGCAGGACTCTAGAGGGTGCATGGGAGTTTGCCCAACCAGTTTACAAGTTCCATGTGGATCTGGAGAATGCATTCGACCGTGTCACTCAGATGGGGCCTATGCGGGGAACTCCGGGAGTATGGAGTACCAGGCCCTTTAATAAGGGCTGTTAGGACTCTGTATGACCGGTGTCAGAGCCTGGTCCAAATTGATGGCAGTAAGTCGGACTCGTCTCCAGTTAGGTTGGACTCAACCAAGGTTGGTGGACATAATGTGCAGCCAATGTATTGAGGGGATCCATTTTGGTGACCTTAGGATCCGGTCTCTGCTTTTGACAGATGAGAGCCGCTGCTCCTCCACAGCCAGTTGAGGTGTCGTTGTCTGTCTTCAATTTTTTCTCAGTCTCACCCCAGCAATGATGATGTTAACTTCCTCCTCATGTCCAGATAAAGAAGACAACTGTCTCTTCTCTGATATTTAGCTTTGTTTCCCCTCCTTAGTGCCTTTAATTGACGCCGGTTGTGAATTGATGCTGTATACATGAACTGAACTGATGAGAACCTCTGCTGCAGCGCTAAGCTGCGTCTCGCTCACTCTGATCTTTTCTTCATCATTTCTCATTAATTTCTTCCTCTTTTCAACAGGAGAAGAAAACATTTGTAAAGTTTATGTCAACATCTGTCTCTTCCTCCCATGTCAGTCACTTAGCTTTTGCATCTGAGTGAGGATGTGTCATGCTCCAGTAGCCTGCTGTAGCTGCTCCATATGCTGGCAGCTTGTGAGCACATACTTGGCTAAGCTGAATGAAAAATAAATTGCAGCGCTCAAAGCTGAGATGCAAACACAGAAATCAATCATGAACAGTTGTCGGAGCAGCACAGCTGCAGCAGGAGATGAGGTGTGAAGGTGTGAGTGCGTGTACGAGGCTGATGGCTGTGTGTGGAAGCATGAGCGTAGAATAGGACGTCAGTCAGCTCCTGTGTTTCTCAGGCCCTTTGTTCTGAGAAACACATGTAGGGTTAGACAAAAGCTAGGCACTGGGATCTAAGATCACACCGGTGTGGAATGGAGGGGGATTGGAACCACAACCACCAGCTATGAAGAGAAGATGAAAACACCTTCCTATGGTCTCTGCTAAACAAGGTGATGACATCCAGGTGACAATCCAGCTATTCCACCATTTTTTTTTTAAAGCTATATTTCTGCAGTAACCAAAGCGACGAGGTTTGGGTTCCTGGGACCATGAGCTCCAGAAGTCCTCAGCCTGCCTCCCAGGATGAGAACTTCCTCTGATCCCCACCACCCACACTGAATTCATTCTTTCATGGAAACGTTGCAGACATCTTCTCACTGGGTGTTTTAATGAACTATTTTTTGTCTTGGTGAACAATTGATCTGAATATGGTCCCTGTGACGGTCTTGGCCTAAACAAACTCAGTAACTTTGTTGGCTTCTGGCATTAAAGACAAATTCAAGAGTCTTTATTGTCATTAGGGACCAATTTCTGCCAAGATCATAAAACACAGAGAAGATTTTAAAAAACCTTGAAGAGGAATTAGCCTAATGCTAACCTGAACTGTTAACTTGAGCTGTTAACCTGAGCTGCTAGCCTGAGCTGCTAGCCTGAGCTGTTAGCCTGAACTATTAAGCTGCGTTCACACCAAACGCAGGAGCAGCAAAAACGCGTCTGCTGCTTCATCTTTGATGCTTGTACCAGTTTAGTTCTGACGTGCGGCTGAAGCATCTTTGCTGCTCCAGCTGCGCGGTGGAAAAAGTGTGTCTGACGCGCGTTTGGCAAAGCTACCCTATCCTTTCTTTGCATGCAGCTATATTTGCTGTGATCAGTGGGAATAAGGAATAAAGTAGAAGAGCAAAAAATGCCTAAACGCTCCCGACACACTGCTTTAGCTGCTTAGACGCCCTGCCCCTGCTCCTCAAAACATGCTTCGAGACGTTTTGCTGTGCCTTGATGCACGTCAACCATTGACTTTGCATGTAAACTAGCTGCTGCTGCTGTGTTTGCTGTGAACGCAGCATTAGCCTGAGCTGATAACCTGAGCTGCTAGCCTGAGCTGTTAGCCTGAGCTGCTAGCCTGAGCTGCTAGCCTGAGCTGCTAGCCTGAGCTGATAACCTGAGCTGTTAGCCTGAACTGTTAGCCTGAGCTGCTAGTCTGAGCTGTTAGCCTGAGCTGTGAGCCTGAGCTGCTAGCCTGAGCTGTTAGCCTGAGCTGCTAGCCTGAGCTGCTAGCCTGAGCTGATAACCTGAGCTGTTAGCCTGAACTGTTAGCCTGAGCTGCTAGCCTGAGCTGCTAGTCTGAGCTGTTAGCCTGAGCTGTGAGCCTGAGCTGCTAGCCTGAGCTGTTAGCCTGAGCTGCTAGCCTGAGCTACTAGCCTGAGCTGTTAGCCTGAGCTGCTAGTCTGAGCTGTTAGCCTGAGCTGCTAGCCTGAGCTGATAACCTGAGCTGTTAGCCTGAGCTGCTAGTCTGAACTGTTAGCCTGAGCTGCTAGCCAGAGCTGTTAGCCTGAGCTGCTAGCCTGAGCTGCTAGCCTGAGCTGTTAGCCTGAGCTGCTAGCAGGAGCTGCTAGCCTGAGCTGCTAGCCTGAGCCGTTAGCCTGAGCTGCTAGTATGAGCTTCTAGCCTGGGCTGTTAGCCTGAGCTGCTAGCCTGAGCTGTTAGCCTGAGTTGCTAACCTGAGCTGCTGCCCAGGTTCAGGTCCAGAGCTAAATATCATGAAAATAACTGTGAGAACTTTCAATTTCAGACCTAAGGATCTTTTTCCAGGAGCAGAAATCTTTAAGTGTAGATGATTTTATGCCAAATCTGAAGGTGAATATTAGCTTAAGGATTTTATGCAAATATTGCATTAATGTGACAACAGTGAGTGTGTGTTTGGGAGTTCTTATCACAATTAAAGACATTTCACTATCACTTTAGTCCAGAAGACCAATGGAGACCAAAGACTCTAGTTCTACTAGAGCTGGCCCCTGTTAGCTGGGTTAGCAGCTAGAGGAAGAGCTATGGTGAAAAGAATTGATCACTGGGATGTTTTCCGGTTTTATACATAACTCACTATTTGGAGATTTTTCAAATCCTGTTTGTGTCCTTTGCAAACACTGCAGTGCATATCTCACCCAGTGGGGGGCAGTGTGTCACCAGGATGTCTGTGTTGTCCGGAATCTGGTTCCATTTGTCCAGAAGAGCCTGGCCCCGCGGTAGGTTGAAGCCCCAGCCGTAGTACCAAGGCTGCCTGCAGAAAGACACAGAGAGGAAACCATTGAGCTTCACTTCCAGACGCCATGACAGCAGGTTCCACCGTTACAAACCACAGAATCAGCTCTGCTAAAACGTTCAGCACTGAAAGAAAGAGCAGCGAATGGCTTAAAGAAAGATCTGATCAGTGGCAGCGAGCTGCTGGACCCTCGTTTAGTTAATGGCCGTCAATCCTTATCCAGTCTGACTGACGCCGCCAACCCTGACCTAGAGTCCTCTCAATCTGAGCAGGCGCTGCGATGCATAAGGCCACATGAAGAGCAATCTTTAGGACATCAAGCAGCTTGAAGGCGTGGAGCGAAAAGCTAAGTGAAACGTTTCTTTGATCTGGAAAAGTGAAGGAAAATGTAAGGACAGGAAGAAGAGTAAAGAAAGAGGATAATAGAGGGAGAACCGCTCAGCCTGCCGCTCCTTCACTGAGCTAATGCAGCGGCCGTGAGTGACGGAGAAGAAATTAACATGTCACTTACAATCTGTACTCCGATCCATCTTTCGCCACAACAGACAGCACACGTGTGTGAACAGCGGCAGGCGACAGCATCTGTCACCGCCGGCGTTCAACCCGCTTTTAATAAATTGCTGAGCTCAGTCACTTGAAACGCCAACTTTATCGCCGTAGCTGCTGCGGCGGCATCTGTGTCTAATGGAACATCAGACGAGGAATTTTACAATAATATCCGCCGTGTGTGTGAGGGGGGAGGGGTGTGTGGTGGGGGGGAAATGCACGGGGACGGCCAATAGATGAGAGGAAGTGAGATGAGCTGATTACAGTTTCCATCCTTCAGAGGAGCGCTGGATGGAAACATGGAGGTCACAGATGAACAGAGGCCAGGCAAACATCAGGATCTGTTGCTGTTCAAACATCCAGGAAGAAACATTTCTGCAGAGGAACCCGCTTTCAATCCTTTACAGAGCAAATATTAAAACATTTAGACCGGCTCAGCATATTAATAGGAAGGAAATATTCATATCAATCTATGCACAGACGTCTAAATGAAAATGGAAGGAGCTCAGCGGCGTTACCGACGGCAGAAGCAGCAGAAGGGTTGATAGGAGCTGCATGAAGTCATTCATCGGAACACGCCCTAAATGAAGAGTAATAAAAGGCTTTGATGGACGGACACAGAAACCATTAGACGGCTGCAGGCTGCCCTCCAATCAGGAGCCTTTATTAAACCCATACTTGATTTCAATCAAAATGATCAAAAGTTTAGCTTCCTGACAAAGACTAGAGGGAAAGCTGCAGGCGGTAACTGGATCCGAGCAGTTTAAACAGGAAGATCCACCTGCTGATCTGATGGACGGTCCCGCATCAGGTCAATGTCTCCTGATCTCAGACAACGTCTTCATACCAACTAAGTGTAAAAAATGATTCTGAATTTATCGGCCACATAACAAGGAGCCATCAAATCGGAACAGGCCTCGAAACCACGCTATGACATCATCAGCAGACGAATCTTTGGAGGAAGCAGCCGCTGGATTTGAACTCCGTCAATCAGGCGATGCAATCAGCTGGTTTTTCTTAGACAGAAAACTTTGAACCAATCTGACTGGAGGATCTGGTAGATCTGGATCTATAAAGTGACCTGAGATGACATGGTGTGAATTGGAGCTATAGAAATAAACTGAATTGATAATTGAATCTACACTTCTTGTTGACTAGATGATATTAAAGCATCAGGAGGAAACCCTGACAAAGATAAGGGGTCCAACTCATCCTGGGTTTGAATGAATATTCATAATATTATCATCAAAAGTTAAAGAATATTAAGAACAAATCCACAGCATTAAACTAGAGAATTAAGGAGACTATAGAGATGGGCAAACTAGAACCAAACAGACCGAAGAAATACAAATATACTTTTCAGATGTGGTGGTTCCTTATGCATGATGGTATAAGATCCAAACATCTCAAATCAGTAAAGACATCTAAGCTACGGCTTCCACGGTTGCCATGTCTGAACACTAAACTCATATCTGAGGGACGGTTCTATCAGCCAATTTCTAAGCAGTGCTGCAGCCTGCTTCTTGAATCCTAATCTTTTAAAGCTGGGCGTCCACTAGTGCATGTTTACAATCATTGCACGCAGCTACAGCTCAAACTGTACGATGAAACAACAGAGTTTATCAGTTCACCGCTCACCATGTTTGTTCTCACATTAAACGTCCAGAAACCAAACATCAGACTCAGCGCCGAGGGATGGCGCCAATCCGACCAGACACCTTGGAAGAAGAAGAAGAAGAACTTCCTTGTTTGCACATGCGCGAGGTTCTGGTAAATCGCTCTCAGCTCTGCTTCATCAGCAGGATTTGCTAACCAACGTGTCACAATGGCCGACTGAATTTCTATGGTTTGATTGTCTCCTCCATGCTGCTGTGGGAAGCAGATAATAACTGATGTGTTAGTCCTGCTGAACGTGATGATACCTTCATCAGGTGGGGAAAACATGGCTTCTAACTGATGCTCAGGATTATCAGGATGTTCTTAGCTGCTGTAGCTTCACCAGCTGCTGGAAACACATGCTGGTGCTGGAGGACCTGATCATCATCTCCTCAGAACACGGCGGAAACTTTTGCTTCTGCCTCATTTCTGCTCAAACACATATATTTGGGTGTTAGCTGTGAAAAGAACGAAGCCCATCTTCCCACTTCCTCTTCAGCTCATCCAGCTTGAGCTGAGAGGATTGTTGCTTTCAGCGCTTTCTAACCTTGGCGTTTCCTTCTGTCTGTCAGTGGCCGTCTGATATCACTGGACTGACTCTATGAAGCATCTGCTGAATGCTGCCAGGCCTTCATCGTCCCTCCATCCTTTCTCGTCTCTTACCGTATTACCCCAGCCTTCACTCCCTCCTCATTTTCTCCACATCGTTAGCGAGGAAACGACGTGCTAACACGGCAGGGCCGATGAATGGGCGTGTTTCTGAACCCTGTCAGCCTGAGGGAACACTATGCTGAGCAGCTGGTTGGACTTTTTCCCGTTAAAATAAAAATCTACACTTTGGGAACTCATTTTCTGTGACAGGATGGTTTGATCCAGACAGGATAACTAAGAATAACTAACAATTCTGCTTCCTCTCTGGAAAGACTCCAGTTAAACCTCAAACTGGGTAAAAAGCAAGACTCTGATATAAACTGGGATCCCAAACCAAGACTAATCTCATTCAAACCTGTTTAAAATGCATAACAGATCTAATGACTGACATTTTTCCAATAAACAGACAAGCTTAGATCATTGGGTCACATGGAATTAAAGGACTCGGTTTAGAGACCCCAATGGCTGAAAGGTCGACTTTACTCCCCGATTTGTGCAGCAGTGGAGCCTGGAAGGTTTTCTCCGAATCTCTGAGCCAAACATCACGTCTTTACATCTGCTCAGCTTCGCAGGGCCTTCCTGCCTGTAATAGTGACATCTTAGCGCCCTCCCCCTCAGCAATATCTGATAATGACTCGTACTTTATGACTCTGATGGTGGTACACTGACAGAAGCCAGGCTGCTGCACACCTGAGTACCACAGGTAGACATCCTAAAACTCCTGCTCAAACGTGCTGCCTGCTGACAAAGGGAAAGGAAAGCAGGAGGAAATGATTGAGGAAGAACCTCTAAACATGTGAAAGGAGAACCAGACGGGAAGTACGGCAGTGGCAGTATGATGGTGTGAGGATCTTCTTCATGACTGGTCAGGGATGAGGATGCAGTGTGTGCACCATCAGCCTGCCGCAGACTGAACTAACTGAACCGGAGCAGCTAATTGGAGGAAGTGACCCTGACGCCATGGTAACGGGAGCATGGCGCTCCCTACCTGCTGAACAGACCTGAGAGCGCAATGTTCAGCATGAACCGTTGGACGCAAGACATGTTTAACATTTAATAACGGACCGATCAGTCTTCTTGTCCACTTGGTGCAGCAGGTGTCCTGCACCAACATGGCGGCAGGTTAGCTGAGCTAGAGAGGCACGATGAGGGTTTGGCCAGACTGACTAACCTGGACCCATTAGCATGACCGCTACATTCCATTCAACCTCGTCCTGTTAGCATGACCGCTATGGTCCATTCAAACCCATCCCGTTAGCATGACCGCTAAGGTCCATTCAACGCCGACCCGTTAGCATGACCGCTAAGGTCCATTCAACGCCGACCCGTTAGCATGACCGCTAC